TAGCCGTTAAATGTAGCCAAGGCCGACCACATTCATTACCATTTTCATATGAAATCACTTACTAGTAGCTTTTCAGATCGTCTGCAATGCGCCGTTAAGTTAGCTCATTTACATCCTAATTAACCATAACTTAAACAACAACAGTCCAGTTACGGGAACCAAATTGTAAACGTTGTGACTGGTTTGCACATTGTAGCAATTACTTTTCAAACGTATACAACGTAGCTGGTATAATCACAAAGTTGTATAGGTTTATGGTAAGATCTAGGACCTGGACCAGCTGTCTCTTATCGACTACGTGACAGTAAGGGAAAGTACTTATAAATCCGATCACTTCCCTCACAGGTAAAACGTTCACAAGGCCACGCTTCTCTTACAGTGACACAAGACTCCAAGTTCGAAACCGACTGAAACCATGAAGTTGACACTAGCTTTGCTCTTTCCGCTTGCCGCTGCGGTGCCATCCGCTGTACTGCAGCCGCGGCAGTCAACAAATCTGTGCAAAAAATACGACTACTGGTCTGGAAAGTAAGGAGCCAAGAAAATTCGTTATATCCTCCAACCGCGAACGATGCGAGTATGGCTTGGTCAAGCGCTAACGAGGAGCCTGGTAGTGGTTATGAATGCCTCAACAACCTCTGGGGTGACACGGCGGCAACGTCCGGCCAACAGTGCACCTACGTGGATGGCAGTTCCAGCAACAGCGTGTCGTTCCACACGACCTGGACGTGGCAAGGCGCGCCTAACAATGTCAAGAGCTACGCCTACTGTGGCAAAATTGCTCCTAAAGGGAAGCTCATCAGCGCCATCAGCAGCATGCAGACTTCGGTATCATGGACCTACACGACGGAGGATCTACGTGCGAATGTCGCCTACGATATTTTCACGGCCGCAGACCCGAACCACGATCGCAGCAGCGGCGACTATGAGCTTATGATCTGGCTTGCCCGTCTCGGTGGCATTTACCCAATTGGCAAGTCGACTGGGACCGTCACAGTGGCCGGTAAACAATGGGACTTGTGGGTTGGCATGAACGGTCAGATGCAGGTCTACAGCTTCGTTGCCGCAAGCCCCGTCCGTAGCTTCAGTGCCGACGTAAAGCAGTTTTTCAACCATCTCCAGACCAGCCAGAACTACCCGGCAAGCAAGCAGAACCTAATTGGTAAGCCTTCCCTCGATCCTCTAACCTAGAACCATTGAGATACAGTGTATTATGGAGGAAAAACGACGGCTAACAACTCTGGCCTTGAAGTCTTCCAAATTGGCAGCGAAGCCTTCACTGGCGGCCCAGCAACTGTTACTTTCAACAACTGGGCTGTGGATATCAATTAGATAATTTAATAGTGCTAAGGACACAAGAGGCAGATTACTTTTTGAATACTCGTAATCACTCTTTGGCATAGTACTAGTAGTTGAGTCTTCAAATCACGCGTTAGGCTGGTACACTCTTTAGAAACCTGCCAATTATACGTACTGGGAGAAATGTGAGGTGGAGCTGTGAAAGAAAGGAGAGACGATCGGCGCTGCGATAAGGACGGGAAGACATTGCACGGCTTTTAAAGGTGAGCCGATAAAAATACGGGATGAAGGTAAGGTGGAGGCCGCATTTGCTACGGACGTCGTTGCCGTCGTCGTTGTTGTCATCGCTGCCGTCGCCCACGCTGTCGCTACGGTTAGCGGTCTCTGCTCACTCGAGCCGCGCTGTCTGGTGCTTTCAAATCACGGTGGAAGGTTAGGCTCGTGATCGAGGGCTAAGAAAAGAAACTACCGTGCGGGCGAGGAGGAGCTTTCCGAGAGCAGGCGGCCTGCGAAGCGCAACCCAGTCCTACGCCCACAATACCAGCCCCCGCCGCGTCCTGGGGCGCAAGCCTTTAACGCCACCACAAGGAGGCGGGTATTCTCTAGGACAAGGGCTGTCCTCCTTGACGCTAGAACCCCCAGATTAATTGAAGAGCGGCCGCCTGTCAGGGAAGCAGGAAGTTAAACGATTAGCAACGAGACGCATTTGTATCAAAAGAAGACGTAGTTACGAAAAGGCCTACGTAACGTCGGGCAGTCGCAGTTCTAGAGACCGTGTTGGAGCCGGAGTATAGTGCCATTGTCTTCACCTGACTAACAAAAAGGGGGGATGCAGACATAAAAGACATTGTAAGTGAGACAGTTGGTCTCTTGCTAGCATCAGAAGTGAACTGTTCCATGACTTAATAAGAAGTAAATGAAAGGCAAAGACGAGCGACAGGTGGCAGAGATAGCAAAAGAGTGGCTGTCTTTTCATACTAGGGGGCTGTGGGTCACATCTTGTCATGGCCTGTTCAAGTCCGTGGCTTACACTGCGAGTCTGCGGTGATTCAACGGGGTCTATATCAGAAGGTGCGGCCCGCTGTCAGGGCCGTTGCCGGCCGTCGTGCGTTGCCGGCCGTCGTGTGTTGCTAGCCGTCGTGGCTGTTGCCACCTAGCAGGTCCCTCCCCGATAAATCCCTGGTGATAGGCGCCTGGTGGTATGTATGCCTCAGGTGCCTAGGACGATGAACCGGCAGACAGAACCGACAATGTCGACATGATCCAACTCAATTGTCTCAACACGATCCCTGCTTGAGCGGCCTTCACTCTGTCTCAATGCACCGTTCTTATTATGCGCCTTTGTGTGGGTCCCACGTGCACTGGTCTGAACGACTTGGAGAGTCTGAAGGCCATTGGAGTCCAGCTTTTGCCGAGCTTAGCACCACAGTTTGAGTCGATTGCCAGCCACATCTATTGCTCTTTGAAATAGAGTGGCCCCTCATTCCGTGAGGCTACAAGGACAAGTACAAGCCGGAGCTCTGGGTGCCCTAAACAAATACGATCCTCCCGTAGACGCGTTCTAGACCAAACATTGCCGTCGTGGCAGAAACCAGCACCTACCGGCATACACCGGACCACAATCGGCGCTAGACAGCGTGTCCCGCTTTCTCATGGCTGGTAACTGACACGGCCATCACGGGCGTAGACAATGTCGTCTACGGAGTGGCCAATGACGACAATATCGCCCCGTGTTTGCATCGCTTGGCTCGAGGACGGCGGGGGAATCTGCAGAAATATGCCATGGGCGAAGTTGATAAGCTTCGCATTTACGGAGGGTGCAGATGCGTTCGAAATATCCACGCTTGGGGCAATGGCCCTCGCTGCGCTGAAATGAGCAAGGCGATGTGTAAGTTCTCATCGCCCTAAACCAAAAGGGTGGCCCGTGTCGGCCGTTTACACAAATACAACCATGGGTAATGCACGAGCGGCCCAACAAGCAGCAGTAGGACTAAGCAAGGGCATACAGAGGTGCTCATGGATGGCTGCATGTGGTAATAAGATTAGATGCGTATATGAAAAGTGATGATGCCATAGTTTATACCGTTACAGCAATCACGGAATTCATGTTGTGAGGAGATCTTGGCGGATCTCATCAGGTGGGTCTAGAACATCACTGCTTGGGCCACTAGCCCACGGCGGGCGGGTATCTGCGGGGCAGCGAGGACAAGCATGCAGCTAGCGTATTCGGAGTTTGCACAGACACGGCACCAATCGTGTCACGACAATAATGTTGGCACCTGGTAGCAGCGAGCGGAGCTAGTATGGCAATAGTCTTCTCATTTATTGAAATGCAAAATTTAAGCAGGGCCTAGCTATGTCAATTGAAGCAGTGAGGTCTTTATGATTTACGAAATGCGACTTTCATGGACTCTGCAGATGCCTCCACCAGGAAGAGGATGCTCAGACTGCTAAAAGGGGAGAATATGGCGGCCGAGAGTATAGCAGACTCGAAAGCGGTATTTTCATTGGAAAATGCAGTCGGCGCTAGTGTCTCTGATCTTCTGTCCGCCTCTAGGTTGATGTAGGTGGCCTTCAATTCGTTTTTAAAAAGGGGGGAAGAGTGGGCTTACACAGCTATCAATATGTTAACAATAGCGGCTGAGGAAATTGAGCCTAAATATGGCAGCTACATCCTTAGATACAAGTGGTCAAAAGCAATGGCGACAGTATTTCAAGCGGCAACAGATAAGAAGTAGAGCACGAACCAAACAAAGAGAGTGTTAAGGTCCTATGCTATCTAGCGCGGACTGTGGTCCGGTGTATGCCGGTAGGTGTTGTCTTCTGCCACGACGGCGAAGTTCCCGGGAAATTTTTCGAACAAGGAAGGCCATCTTTTGATAAGCGTGACTTCCATCTTTATTTTATTTAATCCCTATTTATGTGTATCACATAATTATTCATGCCGATCTTACTTCCATTTCGCCAAAAAAATGAATGTGCACGCCGTAATACGTCACGCATAGTTTACCTACAGCAGGTATTGAAAGAACACGTTGCAAACGGAAACCCGCAGTCCATTGACACGACAAATTGGAAACGGAGACGGATGCAGTTTGTCGTCATTCCAACTGTTGTGGCTTTTTTAGGCAGCTTTCGAGAGAGCGAGGGAGGTGACACATGAATTTTGTCAGTCTGTTTGTTATGTGATTGGTCGAGAGAGAGGTTGACAAATGTAAAAAAGCGGAGTTCGCCGAGCTTCTGCTGTTAGTGGAACGGAATGCGCAAATTTGTTCACTAATACAGAATACGTTTGCTTCAAAGACGCGCTTTGGTAAGCGGCAGCAACGCACTTACACGACGCCCACATACACATCCAATCGGCTATTGCGTCAGTCCATCTGCCTTACCTGAGCGATTGCGCTAAGCACCTTATTTTGTCCTCCGTTCTGTAGTCTCTTTGTAGAGAGGCTGATGGAATTTGATTGTCAATCAGGCAATTGGATTTGGTGTGGTTGTTCTTGATTAGAAAAGCTGCAAGGCGTGCTCGTCGCGGCAAGAATGGAGCACATATATAGAGACGAGAGGTCCTCGATGGTGACGAGATGTTGTTTGTGTCTGGCCCTCTCATTCTCATAGCTTCAACACTCTTCACGCAATAATAACAATATCCCAGGACTACCAACTACTAGCAACTACTTTCAGCAACTACTTTACATTGACTACATCCTACCACCATGTCGACTCCTTTCGTCCTCATTACCGGCACGACGGGCTTTATCGGCGCCGAGGTGCTCCATGATGCACTCGCCAAGGGCTACCGCGTTCGTGTGACTGTTCGCAAAGAGGAGCAGGTTGCACTCACCAAGGCGCGCCACGCCGACGCCGGCGACCGTCTCGAGGTCCTTGTGGTGCCCGACCTCAGCAAGAAGGCAGCCCTGGCGAAAGCGCTGTCGGGCGGTGTCGACTACATTGTGCACGTGGCGTCCCCTCTGGCCCAGCCCGGTCTGGACTTGCACGAGGGCTACATCAACCCGGCCGTCAACAGCACGGTCGCCCTTCTTGAAGCCGCCACAGAGGCGCAGACAGTGAAGCGCGTCATTATTACCTCGTCGGCGGTCGCCCTGTTGCCGCTCGACTGGGTTTCGCGCCCCGGCTACGAGGCGAAGGAGGGCGTCAACCGGTCGCTGCAGGTCGATGTGGATGCGACCTATCCAGACGACGGTAGCGCCGAATTCACAAAGTACCAAATCTCCAAGATCCTGGCGCACCGCGCGACGCTGGACTACGTGGACGCCGCTGCCAAGAAGGGCGAGAAGATTCCCGAGATTGTCACGATCCACCCGTTCTTTGTCATTGGCCACGACCGCTCGCAACTGCCCACAGACAAGCCGCACGGCGTGAACAACCTCTACCTGGGGGCGCTGCAGTCGCCGGAGCCGCCCGTGCCGAGTGCGCTGGTGGACGTGCGGGATGTGTCGGCCACCCACGTGGCCGCCATTTCGGTGCCCAGCGAGCAGCTGGAGGGCAAGGGCCGGTATACAGTGACGGAGGTGGTGAACCTTGGGCCGCGGGTGACGTGGGAGGAGCTTGCAGCCTATGTCAAGGAAAAGTACCCGTCCTTCCCGCTGAAGCTGACGGGCTCGGGACCGTTCTCGAACCCGAGCACAGCGGACACGACACGGGCGACGCGGGACTTTGGCGTGAAGTTCCACGACCCGCTCGACACCGTGGCCGCCCTCGTCGAGCAAAATCTGGCGTAAGAGAGGGACGGTGGATCATAACAGGAGGGAGAAGGGAGGCCCTGCGGAGATGATGTATTTCGATCGCTACTCATAGAAAATGGCAAGAAAAGAAAATAGAAACGTTAAACAATAGTGGGCACATGTGCGCTCTATGTAAGAGTACGGACCAGCGTCTGGCAGCACTGGAATGCCACGACGGCCCAACACCGACACGCGAACGACCCTGAAGTCATCATCGACTACCGCAGAGCCACGGTTGTGGACCATAAGACGGTTGAACTGCTGACGGAGATGGCCGACGCTGCCGATACGACGGCGGAGGTAGCCAATGGCAAGGCCACCACGCCCGCCCAGGTGACGGAGGTCAACGGGGAGATTTCTTTGGATGGTACGATGCCTGTGTATGACACCACATGTTTATATATATGAATAGACAACGATTTAAATATATGCAAACTAGCCAGAATCTACAACATCTAGTTGGATGCACAACTACTATAGACTGCCCTAATTTTGAACCAATCTTCCCATCTTCGCCCGCTCCCTGCTCGCCTACTTACTCTCAACTCTGGCCAGATCCGCCAGCCCCTGCAGCGCCGCGCTCGCCTCTGCCCAGGCCCTGTCCTCCGGGTACAGCTGGCTCCACAGATAGGCCCACGTCAGACGCTGCACGGTGCCCAGCCGCTCGGGACTGCCGTCCTGCGTCTCTCCCGCGTCCCACCCGCTGATGCCGCCGAACCCGTGCTTGCCGCCCTTGATCGTGAGCGACACCTTGGGCGCTGGCGCCAGCGTGTACGGATCGTTGTGCCAGTCGGCGCCGCGCACCGTCAAGTGCGGACCGCCGTCTTCGTCGCCCCACGCCACGAGGGCGGGCGTCGCCATCGTAGAAAAGTCTGGGTCGTACAGGGGCAGCAGGACCTTGCCGTTGTCCGACAGGTCCGACTGGTTCGTGCCCGCACTGCCGGGGCCGCCAATGATGGCGCCGGCCTTGATGCGCGTGTCCACAGCGTTTGTCACGTGCCCGTCGCGCGGGTCCGTGTTGACGGCGCCCAGGAGCACGCTGGCCGTGATGCCGCCGAGCGAGTGGCCGGCCACGGCGACGCGCGCACGGTCGAGCTGGCCGCGCCGCAGAAAGGGCACGCCGTCCTCAATCTCGTCGAGACGGTCCAGCAGGGTCGACATGTCCTGGACGCGCGACTCGAGAAACAGCTCGCGGATGGAGTCGCCGTTCAACTCCAGGCCGAGCGCCCTGGAGCTGAGGTGTGTCGGCTGAAGCACCACGAAGCCGTGGCCGGCATAAAACTCGACAAGCGGCGCGTAGCCTTGCTGCGACGACAGCCAATCGCTGCGGCCGTGGCCGTGAGACAGAAGGAGGATGGGGAGCTCTTTGCCATTGCTGTTCTTCTCCACAGAAGCCGGCGCAGTGACACGGAGTTGCAGGTCGACACGGCGGTTAGTTGTCTTGAGAACGAGAGGGCTGTAGACCACAATCGGCTCTGCATCCGGCACCGGGATCGTGGCGGCTGCGCCAATGCCTGCGTGCTGTGTGAAGAGCATGACTCAAAAGTGAAGAGTGAGGAATCAATGAAAAGGCAACGAAAAAGGTAATAATGATGAGTGTATTAAATCAAATCTGGAAAATTATTTGTATCGTCGACCTGTCTCGGTTTATATACTTCTATACGGTGGACGTCCAAAATCGGGGATAAAAGTCGACCGATTCCGCTCCGGAGATAATTTGCGATTCACTCTACGAGCACCGTGTCTCGCACCTCTTACACAATAAATGCGTCGTAATTACGCTCTAACAAGTCTGACTACTCAAGACATGGAAACGACGTCTATTACCTTGTTAGACGTACGTCTGCGAAGAAATGGAGTGAAGACCGGGATAGCTTGAAAAAAAAAAAAAATCTAATAATTATTCCGATATGCTGTGTCATTAGTCTATCGTTTCACCTCTTGCCTCTTTTCTTGCATTTTACAGATTTGAAGCATGGTCAGGTGCTTTTTTCGTCACAATCATCATCATATTCATCTTCGCCATGTCCGTTTTCACCGCACTTGACCGAAACATGACAACTCGACCTTTCCGTTGCGCTGGCATTCTGTCCGTCTTGGGAGAACTTCAGCCTGCCAGAGAACCCACTAACAAAGGTGTTTTCTCGTACTTCCCAGTATTATTACAAACACGTGTTGGTGACAAGGTCCCAGAGACGTTAGGTATGTCTCCCCGGGCACAGTGGCTCACAATTTGATATAATGGATGCCCAACAAGATATTGTGCGTGTCGCGCTCTCATTGGATGTTATGAACAATGAATGGTGTGGCGTTCTAATCAACAGCTGAAAATTTCAGGCTCATGGATGCAACCTTTACCAGGACGCTGCCCACATGCAGCGTTTGTGGGTTGCCGGGCCATATACGTCGAGAACCATATATGTAGACTAGATCCATATTCCGTCGGCTGCTTGAAGTCCTCGAATCCGTTCACAGGACACAACGGAACGATTTTTACTTACTCCGCCCTGGTAGACGTCGGTGATATTACTCAACTTTCTACCGATGCCACCGTCATTCCCGCTTCGAAATAATGGATTTCTTTGCTCTCCCCGTCGAAATCAGGCTTCAGGTCTATGCGGAACTGCTCATTCACCGCGGGACCATAACTCTCCGTCATGAGTACCGTGATGGCAAGCCGGCCCAGATTTGCACAGAAGAAGGGGTCCACCTCGACCCGACCCTACTCCGCGTCAACAAGCGTATACACAGAGAAGCCATCTCGATTCTCTATTCTGGCAACCACTATCGGTTTGTGAACTGTCTCGTCACGTTTGTTATCCAGAGTGTGAATCAAGCTCATCTGCTTCGTCACGTCGTCGTTGACTTCCCCAATTATACGCGAATAAGCCACAGACAGCCGGACCACTCGTGGCGTCATGAAGAGATCCTGAACCTCGATGAGATATACTTTCTACGTGTTTGCGCCGGCATCACCACACTCGGGCTATGGCTGGACTTTGGGCTCAGCAATTTGTTCTCCCCTGATACGCGCCGCTTCACACAGGGTCTGGATCTCATCCACACACAGCTTAAGCTGTTGTCGTCCCTGAACAAAGTCACAGTCCACCTACACCTGATCGGCTGCGACTCAGATGACGAAACCGAGGACGAGGCAGAGTATTCAGGGGACGACGACCTGAGAGTCGAATCGAACGACCCTACCAAAGATCTCTGGCAGACGCACAGGGACTCCATTGTAGGACAACTGAGCAGCTGTGGATGGGTGGTTGACATCACAAAGAGCCAGCCGCCCAAGCACACCTGGTCCACCCCGGACGACATGCTCGAGTTTGACAATGAAGCCGTGTACATGATTGAATGGAACCAGCGCGAACAGGAGCGGGAGGACGCGACGTTGAGAAAATATTACCGCGAACTCCAGTTGGAGTCGTATCGGAAAGGCTATGCAGACGACGGAGGGCCTGCATAATGGGCAGCGGAGGACCATCCGTCCATGTACACATAGCTACTGATCCCGGCATTTGTGCCGGTGGCTGCAGGGGCCGGGGCCTAATTACCTGGCTTAACGGGGGGAGAGTCTCTGTGGTCACAGTGAATGGTGATAGCTAAGCTCCGTTGCATTGATAGACATGTTTTGGGATGCATTGTCCGTATGCCAAACTCGAGCACTAATACGGAGGCGCTTAGGTAGGGAGGCTCAGTGAATTAATTTCTGGTTTTGCACAATAACATGTATGCACTGATCGGCTAGAGACCATTTGCTAGCGCATTTGGCATCGAGGTACTTCCGGAGGCGATGTTTGTCCATTCGCTCCGCGATTACGTCGTCGATGCTAAGCTAAGACAAAGGGACCACAATTTATGTTGTACTGGGCACACACTTACAACGGTTTGGACGGGTGGAAGCTCCAGAGCTGTCAGAGAAAATGCGAAACGACTGACATCATCGATATGGCAAGATATATGAGATCGATTTGCTGTCCATCAATTGCATGTTCTGTCTCGATCAATTGACAAAACCTCAAATTCGTTAACAACTGCACAATATTCATTTTCACAACAACTGCTGCTCTCATTCAACCGCACACAACACCATGCATTCCGTCTTCACTCTCAACACCGGTGCCAAGATCCCGGCCCTCGGCTTGGGCACGTGGAACGACAAGGACGCGCAGGAGGAGGCCGTCTTGACCGCGCTCCAGGAGGGCTACCGCCACATTGACACGGCCGCCATCTACGGCACCGAGGAGGCCGTGGGGCGTGCGATCCAGCGCAGCAAGGTGCCGCGCGAGGAGCTGTTCATCACGACGAAGCTGTGGCGAGCCGACATGAAGCCCGAGGACGTCGAGCCGGCCCTGAACGCGTCGCTCAAGAAGCTGCAGCTGGACTATGTGGACCTGTACCTCATGCACTGGCCCGCGGCCCAGCTGCCCGGCGCCAAGACGCAGACGGGCGACGTCGACTTTGTCGACACATACCATGCCATGGAGAAGCTGGCCGGCGAACAGGGCAAGACGCGCGCGATTGGCGTCTGCAACTTTAGCCGCGCCGAGCTCGACCGCCTGCTGGCGCACACGGCCGTGGTGCCCGCCGTGCACCAGATGGAGATGCACCCGTGGCTGCAGCAGACGGACTTTGCCATCTACAACCGCGGCCTCGGCATCACCATCACGCAGTACTCGCCGTTTGGCAACCAGAACGACACGTACGGGGCGCACGCCGAGCGCCTGCTCGACGACCCGACGCTGAAGCGCATCGGCGCCAAGTACGACAAGACGAGCGCGCAGACGGCGCTGGCCTGGGGCATTGGCCACGGCCACGTCGTGATCCCCAAGTCCAAGACGGCCGAGCGCATCAAGCAGAACCTCGCCGGCGACTTCCGCCTGCACCCCGAGGACATCCAGGAGATTGACCGGCTGGACCGCAAGAAGCGCTTCAACGACGACTCGGATGCGGGATACTCGTACTTTGCGGATTTGGACGGCAAGCAGAAATAGGTTGTGTGGGGGACGTACGATGGGTCAAGGAAAATCATGTAAAAGTATCAAATATACGGAAGGAGGAAAGCATCTCAAAGTACCGCAATATGGTGTTAAAAACAGTCTGCAATCATCTCACTTTGGAACGTGTCTCATAGCGCACGTCACCAAGACGGTATACAACATGCACAATGTCTACTATGTACGTCGTACTTGCATTCGAGTCTACGTCATGACTTCCTTAATATACACAACCAAAGGCCGCACCGATGCAAGGGCGGCCGAGTGACAGACATGCCGTTGAACGACACACGCCTCAACCCCTCAACCGCTATGCGTGCACGCCGTTGACAGTCGGCTCCGCGATGGCGGCCAGCACGCGGCGGCACATGCCAATGACCTTCTCCTCCTCCAGCCGCCGCGCCACCAGCTGGAGGCTGATGGGCAGGCCGTGCATCGTCTCGGCGTCGTAGCCCGCGGCCACTTTCTGGTCCGCCTCGCTGAGCGGCGCGTACGCCGCGCTCGACGGGTCCACGGGCCGGTCAATGGCCTTGTCGACGAGCAGGCCGGTGGGGAACGACATGCAGGCGTAGTCGAGCACGTTGTAGACACCCGTGTAGCCGACGTGCTCAAAGGCGCCGTGCTTGACCGTGTTGAAGGGGATGGTCGGGCACAGGATGGCGTCGAGGCCGGCCGCGTTCCAGCGGTCGAGGTACCTGCCCTGGTACGCGGTGCGCTCCAGGTGCAGCTTCCACATGTCGGCGGTGCCCAGCTCCGTGGCCGCGCCGTACATGGCCATCTCGGGCCGCAGCGGCTCGCCCGTGCGGTCCAGCTCGTGCAGGATGGTCTTGCCGCCGTCGGCGACAAACATGCGCGAGAGCAGCCGCGCGCCCTCGGCCTGGTCGACGGGGTCCCAGTCGACCAGCGTGTGGCCGGCGGCGGCCAGGCGCGCGACGGCCAGCTTCAGGGCGCGCGCGACGGGCGGCGTGGGCCGCACGACGCCGTCGTGCCACAGCACGCCAATGGTCAGCGTCTTGGGCACGTCGTCGACGGCGGCCGCGGCGCGCCAGGGGATGGGCAGGCACTTGCTGTCGAGCAGCCAGGGCCGGCCGCCGAGCACGGCGCGCGTGTACGCCTCAATGTCGTCGAGCGTGCGCGCCAGCGGGCCGTTGACGGACATGACGGCCTCCTGGCCGGGCATGCCGGAGCGGCAGTTGCGCACGGGGAAGCGGCCGCCGGACGCGCGCAGCGTGAAGAGGCCCGTGCAGGCGGCGGGGATGCGCAGCGAGCCGCCAATGTCGGAGCCGACGCCCAGGCAGCTGCCGCCAAAGGTGATGAGCGCCGACTCGCCGCCGGACGAGCCGCCCGGCGTGACGCCGCGGTGCAGCGGGTTGATGGTGCGGCCAAAGACGTTGTTGACCGTCTCGGCAATCATCATGGCCGTCGGCACGTTGGTCTTGACGTAGGGCACGGCGCCGGCCGCCTCGAGCACGGCCACGAGCGCCGCGTCTTCGGCCGCCGGGTCGCCCACGTGCGACGCGAAGCCCACCGTCGAGTCCAGGCCCTTGACGTTGATGTTGTCCTTGAGCGACACCGGCAGCCCGTGCAGCGGGCCCACCGGCTGCCCCGTGCGCGCCAGGTGCGCGTCGCGCGCCGCCGCCGCCGCCAGCGCCCGGTCGAAGCACGTCTCCGCCAGGCAGTTGAGCAGCTGCTGCGCGGCCACGGCGCGCTTGCAAAACGCCTGCGTCACCGCCACGCTCGTCAGCGCGCCCGACACCAGCTGCGGCAGCAGCTCCGACGCCGTCGACTCGGTGATGCGCAGCTCCTCGGGCGTGAACCACCCTGACGCCGCCGGCCAGCCTGTAATGTCGTCCTGGTCCGCGGGCGGCAGCAGCTCGTCCGGCACCAGCCACTGCTTGGGTAGCGATGCCGCCAGCTGCTCACGCTTCTGGGCGGCCAGCGCCTCCCATGACTTTCCTTGTGTCATGTTGTGTGTGTGTGTGATATCTTGTTGGAGTGATATATGTGTAAACAAAAAAGGGTGGATGAGGCCGGAGAGAGTCGAGCTGGATCACACCAGGAGGATAAAAACGAGGGTATGAACAAACAAGAGGATGGAAAGATAAAAGACAATGAGGAAATTCAAGATGAGTTTCACGCAGCCAACAAAATGCTAAACGTCCAAGATAAAGAAACCTCCAAGGGAAACATTCAAAAGAGGCTCGCCATCCATCGGCTGCCAAGAGGGTCCCTCGCGTCGTTCGCCTCCTCGTCTGCTTCCTGGCGATATTCCGGATATCGCAGTGACGTCGGGCCGTGGTGTCGCTGCGTCGTAGATTCCCTTCCTAAACTGGGCTAGTGGCGAGTCGTGTGCCGTTCCCCTCTTTGAACCGATAGTCGAACCGTTCCCCAGTCTACTCGTGGAGTCGTCAGTCTGCGTCTTAGCCTCGCCACCAACTAATTGTCTGCTGATAACGCTCGCTTCGTTAGCGTGGCTCGTGGTGGGAATCGTGGGGATTTGATGAAGATGAACGTGGCCGTATTGGGGAGCGTCTGCGGAGTAGCCTGAACGAAGTCGTAAGAAGAATGCATCAGACAAAAGTGGGTATAGTGGACTCGTTCAGATCGTGGGATACTGTGGATATGCTCGACATACATCGTAGGGTCGCTGACCGTGGCTCTCCTCGCATCGTCTGTGTTGCTCAAGTCCTATTGACGCGATAACAAAGCCACGCGAAGACGAATTAGAGCCAGCGGAGGACGGAGGAACATCTGATTCGCTGGCCCAATATCGTCTCCATATCTCTCCCCATTCTGTTCCCTCACGCCAGCGTACGGCATACGCAATACGAGGTCCTCCGCAATTTGCTGGCAGCCAGGTTCGACGTTGCCGTGTGGCACATTGCGGGTGTTGTGGGCCGCACGGAGGCCGCTGGAATGCTGCCTACGGCTACGCGTCCGAGTCAATCACCAGAGAGAGGTGCGCCTGTCACTCCGTAGTACGTTCTGCTCGTCGTCATCGAATGTGTATAGCCACGTAGCGTCCGTACTTTCGATGAACATGCCGCGAGCACCGTACATCGACAGTTGGTCCATGCTGCTGCTCGCCGACATCGTGTCGGGGTCGTCCATCATGCGGTCCGCCATCCACGACCACATATTGTCAAAGTAGCCCGACGCACCCGGCGTAATACGTAACAGTAGACAGGCCGCCTGGCACCCGGCCCCGTCTACACCGTTCGTGCTCGGCAGACACGCTTTCGGCGTCAGGCCCGTTCCAGCTGCAGCACCTACGCGTACGTGCACACCCGCGTGGCTTCATGTGTGTACTTGAGCGTCTCGCCCGCCTCCCACGTGCGCTTGTTGTCCTGGTACACGGGTCTGAGAACCCACTTTGTGATTGGTGTTAGCCTCGTTGTCAATAACAGCAGTGCCTCTCGGTGGCCAGACGCCTGGAAAAAATGTCAGGATGAAATCCGTATCGGCGACTGTTAATGGTTAACGATCAGGCAACACATGATTCCAGAGTAACCGGGTACTGCCTGACGCGAGCTTGTTCCGTAGACCAAGCCCCTGTATATAGCAGACCTGGTCTGTTGGTCCAGTCATGGCATCTTACCCGGTGTTCGTAGCCCTTGCTTTTGCCAAAATGCAAAATTATGCGGGCAAGAGGAAACCATAGCAGCGACTGTCGACAGCGACAGTCGCACAAACCTGCCAGGGGTGGCTAAAACAATCAAACGACGTCTTTGCATGCAGGTAGACGGCATCTACAACGAAGGACTGAGACGAATGTGCCACTGACATAAACATTCATCGATCCCATAGACTATAGACTCACAACGCACGACGCCCTGTTGATCACGCCTTGCCTGAACAGCTCCGTTCTCACTGCATCAAGTGTACACCCGTTCCATGGTAGACGCATCATGTCTTTCTCTCTGCCGGCATCAACGACAGCGTCCACAACCACGGCCTTAGCCACTGGTACAGCCACGTCACTCCTCTCCCTCACAACACCCTTTGTGGCACCACCCGACTGCGACAGTTTGTTCTCCACAACCAGCATCGTGTCGAGCTTCTGGTGGAACAACTACACGGTTACGACAATCGGAATCACCGTATCGGACCCAACGAACCTTCGTTTCGCCGACTGCCAGCCGGCCGGCTGGGATGCGGTCGTCCCTGAGAGCCGCTTCTTCTTCAGCCCCGCCGTGTGCCCGAGCGGCTGGACGGCGTACAATGTAGCCGCCTTTACCGAAACGCAGCGATCCACGAGCACCACAGTCACGTACGCGTCGTACAGTACGGTCAATACGGCGTACTGCTGTGCAAGGTAGGACGTCCCTGAACACAACAGTTCCCTTTCTTACTGCCCTATTTTTGCATACGATCTGGCGAACTCATCATAAACAACCGAATAGTGACTACCGGCTCAACGACATGCCCTTTACTGTCATCCTGGCCAATGTCGCATCCAACATGTGTGTGCAGCAGATGGGCGTCACAATCGAGACCCTGAAAGACCAGTACAGCTTTTCGGCTCCGGCCTCGGTCCGCGTCCACAACCCGTACCACATCGCGTGGAACGCGGCCGACCGCCGTACGCTGTCACCGACGCCACCAGACATCCTGACGTGCTCCGCCGTGCTCGTGACGTGGGTTCCCGGCGCGTCCGTTCCACCTCTCGTTTGCAGCGACGGCGAGCACAGCGACCCGGGTCGGAGCGCGGGACTGAAGGTTTTGTTCATCGGAGTACCGATTATACTCGTGGGCGCAGCTCTGGTGTGCTGTAGCTTGTGTGTGCATTATTCGAGCAAAAATCGGCAAGAAGAACGAGCTCGAAGAGAGAGGGTCGCGGAAACGGCTGCGGTGGAAAACAACTGATGGACAAACCAGGGGCAAGGTGATAAGTCAGGGTAGTCGGGCACTCTGCAGCAGGGAGAACAGCACCACGTGGAAAAATCGGGTGGGGCATCGCCTCCCAGGCCGGGGCCGGCTCGCAGCAGCATTGTCTCATATCTCACGCGGATGATGTTACTTGAATGTCCCGAGGAGCACTGACTCGGAATCGGCAGCACGGCACATGGTGGACTGCTTGGCATATGCCGGCAGGTGCGTGCTCATTGTGTATCCGCATATTTACGTCTAATTATTTTATTTATTTTCCTTGCGAAACAAGGACACCGTTCCCATGCGTCGTCATTCGCAACACCATGCCATCTCAAGCACCCTGTTCTGCTTAGCTGGTCAGTGTTGATCGTACTAGGTGCATATTGCGTTTGATTTCGGTATAATTGCTCATTGGTAGTACTCCACTTACGGGTTTTAGTTTTATTTCCTCAAGATGTTTTTTTGAAACAACAAAACGAAAGAAAAAGAAGAGACCGGAAATATAGGCCATTAACAGACGAATCCCTACTATGAAAACATGGCCCATGGTAAACCTTTATGCGTGATCCATTGCTGTATCCTTGCTTCGCTCCGTTATTTATCTCGTCTGCCCACCTCGCTGCTTATTTGACAGGACCCTTATATCGTCTTTTTACACGGGATAAAACTTTTTTTTGGGGTTTTCTTTCTTTTTTTTTTTTTAACTTTTGCACTCGCAACTTTTTGACGAGTCCCACGAGGCGTGACAACAAATACTGTCGCCATGTCTGACCTCCAACACGAGCTGCATCGGCAGCAACGGCGGCGGTCGTGGTATCGATCGCCTCTGTTTTCCGTCGTCATGGTGGCCTGCACGGCCTTTACGTGCCCGGGCATCTTTGGTGCGCTGAACGGCATGGGTGCTGGTGGTGGTGCCAGCGCCGGCACGTCGAACGCCGCCAATGCCATTGTCTTTGGCATTCTTGCCGTCGTGTCGCCGTTTGTCGGCATTTTCTGCAACTATCTGACGCCCAAGTGGACGCTGTTTGTAAGTGGCGCGTGGTTGCCTACGTTTGAGAACTACATACTAATTCCATGCTGTCAGATTGGCACGTTCGGATACGCCCCGTACGCTGCGGGATTTTACGTCGTCGACCACTATGGAGAGTCTTGGCTGCTGCTCTTTGGCGCCGTGACCTGCGGCCTGTCCGCGTGCTTCTTGTGGGTGGCCAGCGGGTCGATCATCATGGGCTACCCCGAGGAGAACAGAAAGGGCCTCGCTGGTAAGGACAAACCGTGTGTATTCCAGTCCATGGACGTCGTCTAATGCTGCGCCAGCCTCCTTAAAGTTCTCCTTCCAGAACCTGGGCGCGTCGATCGGCGGCATCATCAGCCTGGCCCTCAACGCAGAAAAGGCGTACCGTGGGTCCATCAGCGAGGCGACGTATGTTGCGCTGATGACCATCATGTGTCTCGGCTTTCCGTTTGCCCTCAATGTCTCGCCGGCGCACCGCGTCCAGCGCCGTGACAATCTCCCAGTGGTCCTCCGAAAGGCGCCGACGCTGGCCAGGACCTTTCGCATCCTGTGGACGCTAATCAAAACGCCCACGGTGTTGGGCCTGATGCCGTTTATGATTTATTCGCAGTGGTTCCTCTCGTACCAGTGGCAGTTCAACTTTGCCTACTTCACGGTGCGCACGCGGGCGCTCAACTCCATGCTGTTCTACCTCGGCGGCCTGGTCGCGGCGCTGTCGTTTGGCCAGCTGCTCGACTGGACCCGCTTCCACCGCACAACGCGCGCACGCATCGGCTTTTTTGTCGTGTCCATCACCTCGGGCACGTCGTGGATCATCGGTCAAGCAGTCCAGCATCACTACATGACAAACCCACCGACGCTGGACTGGGTCGAAGCACGCTACGGCCTGCCATGCTTCCTGTTCCTCCTCTGGGGCATCTCCGACCCTCTGTATGTGTACTCTGCATCCGCTGTTTTCCGCCTATCGGGATGCTTTGTCGCTGACCCTCTTCCTCTGCATAGATGCACCGTCTACATGTACTGGCTCACGGGCAGCTTGACGAACAACGTCAACGAGTCTGCCCTGCTTACTGGCATCATCAACTCCTTGGGCTCCGTCGGGTCCACGTTTGGCTTTGTCGTGTCGGCCATGGACTTCAACTACGACGGGGCCTGCGCCATCAACCTGGCCCTCTTCTTTCTCTCGCTGCCCGGTTTGTCGTGGGTTGCCTTTAAAAAAGTCACGGAGACGTCCCACGGCGCCGACTTGACAGCGATTGGCCAAGACGCTGCCGGTGGGAGCAACGCATCGCTCCAGGATGGCTCCAGCAACGATGGCGCGCAAGAAGCGGTCGTAGTCAGTGAGAAAGCTGTGGAGGCTTAGATGAGAGGATACATAAAGATGTTCATGTCTTGCCAGTCGCACAGGAGATAGCACGCGGCAGGAGAGAAGAACAGATAAGAAATTGGCAGAGGAAATAAGGAGGTATTTCTCTGATAGTATTTTTTTGTTTACTAATCTAGGACTTATACCATGCAAAAAAGATCTGCAGAAATAGATAGTCTACCGTAGACAGTGGATCATAAAAAAGGCTAATAATTGGAGTCCAGAAAAAGCCCCAACCAGAGCGGCACAGGTGCATGTCCATACGAAGTATTTGCGGTGGGGGTTTTTGTGTTGCATATTAGGCCGATAATGGCCGGTTGGCAAAGTTTAAAAAATACCAGTATGTGGAGATCTGCTGCACCTGCGACTTGACACTGGCTCAACAACTTCACCATGCCACTACGCATCGGGTATGTAGTTTCTTGTCCTTGTTTTCGTTTGGTTCGTTTGGTTCGTTTTGTTCGTTTACTTCGAGTCCATGTCCTAACCGTCCCGGCAGAATCGTGGGCGCAGGCTTGGTCGGCAGTGCCGCGGTGCTGGCGCTCTCGCGGCTGCCGGATGCTGAGGTGGTTGCCTTTGAGAAAGCCCCGAGCGCGCGAGAGGCCGGTGCCTGGATCAGTCTCACGGTCACCGGGCTGAAGGTGCTGACCAAGCTGATCCCCCCGGCCGAAATCAGTGCCATTGCCTACCGACCGCCCGACCGGGCCGTCTATGTGACACGGCACTGGCGGACAGGCGCGGTGCTGCTCCGCAACTACTCGTCCGACCATCTCAAGGACGACTATGTGCAGGCGCGCACCCACAGAGAGCCGCTGCTGAAGCTGCTCCTGTCGCACGTACCAACGGGCGCCATCCAGTACGGGCAGCCTGTGGTCGGCGTGGAGCTGGCGCCGAATAACAATGACAAAGACGACGCCCGGGGTCCAGTGCGGCTGCTGTTCGCGAACCCCGACGGCGGCACGACGCCTACGTCCCGGGACTTTGACATTGTCGTGGCGGCCGACGGTCTGTACTCGCCCATTCGACGCCAGTTCTGGCCGGACCACCGCGTGTCCTTTGAGGGTGCCGTGGCGTACAGAACGATATTTCCAGCCGCGCGCGTCGCGGGCATCGCAGGCCTGCACGACGACTCGTCGGCATGGCGCAAAGACGGAGAGGTCGTCTTTCTCTCGGCGCTGGGCCTGGGCATGTACGGCGTCGTGATCATCCGCGACGAGACGCCAGAGTACATGGACCGAACGGGCCTGCGCTGGGAGCACCCGATTGGAGCGGCGGGCGTGGAACGGCTGCGCGGGCTGTACGCGGACTGGGACCCCCTCATCAGCCGGGTCCTCGCTGTGGTCGACGGCATGGACGCATATCCGCTCGACTCCGGCCCGTGGCTGCAGCAGCTGGCCCAAGCGGACCGCATCGCGTTTGTCGGCGACGCAGCACACCCGACGGCCGGCGCCTACGGCGCGGGCGCGGCCATGGGGTTTGGGGACTGCTGGGCCCTGTACCGCGCGCTGTCGGCCAGCCGATCGAGATCGACCGCTGCGGACGAACAGCCTGCTTCAACGGATCCCAACACACACAGGTACGACATCGCCAAGGCGCTGCGCATTTTCGAACAGGCCCGTCTTCCGTTTCTGCTTCGCGTCGAGGAGCAAATGGAACTGGACGGCCGCGATGGGCGGTACGTCTCGGCGGCGGTGGCAGACGAACAGGAGTGGATGCGGCGCTATGTGGAGCGCAACCCCCCCAGCAATTGGCTCACGGAGCACGATGTCGAACTCGAGGTGCAAAATGCCATCATGCGGCACTTGGATAGCTGACGCTTCCAGTTCCAACTAGTCAGTTGTCAGGAGCTGCCCCGTAGTCATAGTTTTTCTCGGGACATCCATCTTCCTCCGGTTCCATAGTAAAATACGACATTCAACTAATATCACCTTGTTGCGTGTGGTACTCATGTTAGAGCAATGTCTCGCCATCCGACCTTGCCCATTTCTACCAAATGCAAAACTCATGATAACTTCACGGAGTGTAAAACGCCTGTTACAGTGGGTCTGTCACAAATACAGCGCCTCGCACGTGGGGTTTGGCTTCCCTAGCGGCTGCTGCTTCCCGTTTCCGGTCGCCTAGACGCTATATCCGGCCGGCATCATCTCGTGTAAGTCCATCCTGTCCCGTCTTATCGCTGCATTGCAGCCACCACACCGTTCCGAAATTCACACCTCATGCACATGCAATCACTAGCTTAGATGTCGACATACCGAGAGCAATATGCAAGAACGATCCGTCATCGGCTTTCGATTGCTCTGTAACATTGTGTAATGCTAGCGGTTTCTCTTAATATACTTATTTTATAATTTTATACGACTTTTTGCGTGTCATGGTAGACGCAGAAAGAAAGCGGGCGATCATGCCTCGCACATGGGACATCTATCGACAAAATCAATACACCATCGAAGTCCAGCGGTGGTTTGTACGTCGTACCGCTGTCGCCGACTCGTCATCAGCAGCAACCACCTGTGGCACCCACCTGTGACACTGTGACTGCCCACTCACTCTCGCCAGCAATGGCACCTCAAATCAGGGTGGCCGTCATTGGTGGTGGCCCGGCCGGCCTCGGCGTCGCCATTGAGCTCGGCCGGCTTCCGTTCGTCGACTGGCACCTGTACGAGAAGAAGAACGTCATCAGCGAATACAGCAGCGGCCTCACCATTCAGCGGAACACATGGCGCATGCTGGAGCACCTCGGCGCCGCAAAGCACCTGCGCACGTCAGACATCTTCCGGCCGGCCAACGGGCACATCACGCAACACCGCGATGGCCGCACCGGCGACCTCGTGCTCGCGGCCGAGACGAAGGGGACAACGACGACAGCACCGCACCACCAGCCCTGCCGGGCCCATCGTGCCCTTTTGCAACAGGCGCTGCTGAAGGAAGTGGACCAGAGCCGCGTGCGCGTCGGCCACAAGCTTGTCCGCATCGAGGAGCTTCCCTCGCACCGAATTTTGCTGTCCTTTGACAACGGCTGGACCGACGAGGTGGACCTGCTCATCGGAGCGGACGGTCTGCGATCTGTGAGAGAGCCGACCCGCACGTGTTGGTATTCGTGAATCACGGCTAATCAGAATTTGCATATGCAGCCCGTCCGTGATTTTGCCTTTCCGGACCACCGCATAGCCTACACGGGCGCCACGGCCTATCGCTCGCTGGTCCGCACGTCCGATGCCCTGGACGTCAATGGCATGCTGCCCGAGGTGATCTTCTGGCACGGCACCAACAGCAAGTGGGTGTACACATGTCCACTTGGCGGCGATACCTTTGAAATCACCTGCCGCATCATTGAGGGAAAGGACCCGGAAGGCGATGACCAACGCTATCGCGCCAGCTGGGGCCGCGAAGCATCCGTGGCCGAGTTCGTCGCCAAGTACGCCGAGTTCTGTGCCCCAGTCCAGCAGCTCCTGCAGCTCGTCACGAACGTGCAGCAGTACGACTTTTTTGCCGGCCCGCGCCTCGAGACCGTCGTGGCCCGGAGCAGCGTGGCCCTTGTGGGCGACGCGTCCCACCCGTTGTCGGGTGCATTTGGCGCGGGAGCCGGGTTTGCTCTCGAGGATGCGTTCACGCTCGCCGGCGCCTTGGCGTGGGCGTTTGGTGCAGGCGGCCCGTCAGGCCGGGACACGCGCGCCAAGCTGGGCGTGGCGTTGTCTCTGTACGACCAGGTGCGGTCCGCCCACTACGCCGACCTCTACCGCATTCTTGACGGCTACGGGAAGGCCGAACAGATTGTGGCCGCGCAAAACTTACCGCCAAATGGCGAGATCCGGGCACGCATTGACTCTGTCTGGAACCCAAAGAACAACTGGATCTACCACTACGAGGTGAGTCTCGGCCAGGGGGGATCGGGAGCTCACATGCCCCATATACCCACTTTTCACCCACGCGTTCACTGACTCCTGTACCCAGGTTGACTCTGCTCTGGCAAAGGCCATCCGCGACGCTGGCGATGCCCAAGGACGGGGCAGGTTCGAGGCGAGGCTGTGAAGCATGGAACGTGGTGCAGTCAAATTGACTTTCTGCGGGAGATAAGAGGTAGCCAGCTCGAGTGTCTGCTGATACGATATGTGCCGCAGTCGAGTAACTATTGAATCACAATATATTTGAGCTACTTGGTGGGATCGTCTAGTATATGCTGTCCAGATGCGCCATCGTTCTGTTGCATGGAAACGCGTCGTCCAATGGAGAGCCCTCCGGCCGGCGCAGCGCCTCGTCCACCATACAGGCACAGTCCCCGCGTTCGTCCGCAAGCTGCGCATTGCGCCCGAGGACGGCGGCGCCCAGGCTAAAGACGGACGCCGGATCGACCGTGTCGTAAAACGGTGTGTCGTTGGCGTACGGCAATACGTCATGCAGCGCGATCCGCAAGGCCGCCATGGCTTGCTCGGACGCCGCACCGGCGACAACGACGCCACGGACGTGGCCACTGCATTCAGGTTCGGTGGCCGCCGCTGTCACATAGGCCGCGACGGCATCAGCGAGACGTCGTACCGCCTGGCCAAAGCGCGCGCTGGGCGACGCCCGGTCGTCGGAGGTCGTGTTGCTCCGCATGGCCGGCGGCCAAAGGGCATCCTCGCTGAGCGCGGGCCAGGCACGCGCGGCCAGTTCGCTCGTTCTGCAGACATCCACGTCCTTGGGACAGACACCGGCCAGCTCGAGAAAGCCGGGCTCCAAGTTGGCCAGCAGGACAAAGGCGTCCTCCTCGCCGGTGTCGTCACTTTGCCCCCAGGGCATCTGATCGTGGTAGGCATATTGCACCGCCTGGGCGGGCCTGATGATATCATACTCAATGTAGTCGCCGTGGCGCGCCCACTGGTAGCAGGGAAAGTCGTGGTGCAGCACCATGTCAAACAGGCTCGTCAACTCAGATGTGTTGTGCGGCAGAACGACGTAGCCGATGATGGGGGCGTGGCCGAGGGCGGACTCGGAAGCGTCCAGAAAGGCGGCCATGGCGTCGGCGAACAGTGTCGCGGTGGCATTGGAACAGGTCATGTCGACTTCGCAGTCCCAACCCCATCGTCCGCGGTCCCGGACCACGTCCTCTGTGTAGCTGCGCCATGCCGCGCTGGCCGGGACGGAGGCCAAGGTCGCGACGGCTTGGTCGTCCTCATTGTAATACGACGCGGTCCTTTGATTGTCAGTGTACAGTTTCTACGGTGATCTCAAAATATGCCATGATGTGACGAGTAAATGAACGAACAGTCGTGAAGGGCCCAGGTAGAGGCCAACAGGGTAGTCTGTAGGTTTGCGAAGCTCGCATCTCATGAGTGTTGCGGGCGGCGGGTATCGCGTTCTGTGGCAGACAGGACCAGGTCAATGATCAGATCACGTATATCAAAGACAACAGATGCACAAGAAGATCCATACTCGGGGGGTCATAGGATCAGATACTGGTCATCCAGTTCGACGGCTGCGTGGCCCAACGCCGGTGCCAGGCCCCATGGCAGCAGAACCAGGAGCAGAAAAGAAAGCGACGGAAGAGGGAACTCGCCAGCACGTCGCGCCAACTTCATCATTCAACCTCGTTCATTCAACCTCGTTTGAGTTGCTCGTGTGCGTCTACTCGGACAAATTGAGAAGCAGCGACAAAAAGCGAAGGAATGCGACAGGAGAAGGGAATGATTGGACGAGAGAATGGTACAAGTTCGATTGGGAGACGTCGCAGTATTCTCAATTCCCCACTATCCTGGGCAGTGGGCACAAGGAACACAGGGAGCACATTTACTACAGCAAGTTGGAGTAGGGACGGCACAGGAGAGCGTCCATAAAAGAAATCCCCAGTGAGGTTTTTTGTGTTGTGTTTTGGGCTGATATCCAAAAGAGAAAACAATCATCGAATAAGTGATCAGAAAAATTATCCAAAAGGGAGCGAAAACATGTGGAGCTGGCCATAGTAATCCCAATACACCATAACCATTGAACGCCCTGACCACGCTCGACCAAAACGTAAGAAACGACGTGACAACATAAAACATGCCAAAAGTCAAAACAGAACGCCGACCATTATATCCTAGCCGGTACCGACCGCCGTAGAATCGTTTGCCTCTCGTACTCGTACGTCGAAGACCATAAGGTCCGTAAAAGACCGAGTGCTCAGATGTGATCCTCCATTTTTTTTCCCCAGTTTCAGTCATGGCTCATCATCCTCCTCACAGAGCAGCCCGATCCGGCGCCAGTGGTCTTCGCATAGCGCCAGGCCACCGGGGTAGCGCGAGATGCCACACACGTTGCAGTTGAGCCAGTACTGCTTGATGACGGCACAGTGCGCACGTGTGCGCACCTGCATGCCGCCCACATACGCACCGGCGGCCAGGTGAATGTAGAAACGAGAGGATGCCGGTGTGGCCGCAAGCGACGCGCACAGCTTGTCAACAGCGGCGGTGGTGGTCGACTCCCACGTCGACACGTCTTCGGCCATGGCATCGTCGTCCTCGTGCCCCGTCTCTCTGTGTGCGGCCTGGGCCTGGCTGAGCGCAGCCAGTGCGGCGGCGCACCGGCTCACATTAGCAGAGAGGTCCCAGTCGCTGAGACCAGGGCCGGCGGCCACGCGCAGGATCTGCTCGGCAGCGCGCAGACACGCTTGGACAGGGCGGCGGGCCAGACGACCTTTGGCGACATCAACATACAGCGCGCAGGCGTCGGCCGGGACGCCAACGGTCGCAAAGAACTCGTCGTCCAAGAGCACTTGGCGGTGCCAGTCGTCAAAGATGAGTCCAGGCCGCGTGGGTGTCGGCGGCGCAGCCGCCGTGGGAGACAAAACGCCGTCGTCTGCCTCCCGGTTGGTCACGGCCTCCACAGGCCCACCCACGGCCCTGTGCACCACGGCACCACTGACGTCAAACCACACCAGGCGCGCCAAAATGTCCATCAAGCCCGGCACCATGGCCGCCAGCCGGTGCAAGTCGGCTAAGGTCCGGCAGTGGTGGTAGTCCAGCAGGTGGCGTGCGCCATACAAGTGGCGTTGCCACTCGCCAAAGGCCGTGTCGTCACAGACTTCAAAGACAGCAAAGGTAGCAATGCCCAGAAAGGCAAATGGATTGGCGGCGGCAATGGCACGGTTGATGTGGGCGAGGGCGGCGAGGCGGTACTTGACCATCTCCAGCGAATCGAGCGGCTGCTGGCGCGGGGCCGGGCTGCGGCCCTCAAGGCGTGCCTGGATAAAGACGCACAGATCGGACAACAGGCCCGTGGTTTCGGGTAAGGAAAGGTAGTGGTTGGTTCCCCGCGCAAGAGAAGACGTGTGGTAGGAGGAAGACGAGGCTGAGGCTGATGCGGCGGAGGCGGCAATGGTCGTGGAGGATAAGGCTGTTGCGGCTGCAATTGCCGGTTCTGCATGTGGTTTGCTGGCCTGCCCGTCATTGTGGGATGCGTGACGTGCATGTGCATGGTGGTGCGTGCCGGCATTGACATGCTCGTCGGTGGACCCTGTAGCCAGGGCATGTGCTGCTGTTGTCAGAACGTGGTTGCACAATGCGGCCAGGCGCATGATGAGACTGTTCTGGTCGGTCTCGCTCCATGTCTTTTCGATGAGCAGTGACGAGACGGCAGACATGGTCGACGATGCCGGCGACATGGGGAGCATGTTGTTGGGAGGTGGCGAGGAGGACTGTGCGGTGGGGAGACTGAAGGTTGGCGAGGAGGAGATGGGAGGTGCCGACATTGGTGCTGGTGCTGGTTCTGGTGGTGGTGCTGGTGCTGCAATCGTCAATTTGCTTGCCCGTGCTGCGGCCGGTAATGTCGACTTCGGTGTCGGCGTCGACGGCGACGTCAATGTCGATGCCCGTGACGGCTTGGTCACTTTGTTGGACCACGCCGCGGACGTCGGCCGTTGCCGCTCCTCCAGCCACACGACACGCATCGGGTAGCCGCCACAAGCCAGCCCTGCCTGCACACAGGGCAGACATTGTGGGCGATTGAGGTCGCACTTGAGGCCGCGAGTCTTGCAGGTCACGCAGTCTCGATCACGGCGACGGCCACGCGGTTTGCCACGCGGACGTGGTGGCTCGCCCGGTGTGGTCGAGACACTGGACGTCCTCTGCTTGGCCGGCATGATTCCTTGCCTAATGCGGATGGATATTGGAAATGGGAATACCGAAAATGTAAGCGGGAATGCGCCCGGCAACGATAGCCGAGGAATATGTCGCCAAATGGCGAAAGGAAAGTGTCGAAACGATGGGTGGGAACGTCCGTGGAGAGGTGGGAATCCAGAAGCTGACTTGGACGAAAAGAATGGGCCTGGGGTCAGTAGTGCAGGAGTTTGCCTCGTGTCGCCTGGGCTGCGAACGCCAGAATATCGTGTGGCCGCAGCCGTGTTGGAGCGAGCTTGACTAAAGAGAGCCCAAACGGCGTGTGCAATGTTTCTGTTTCCTCCGTTTTTATTTGGGGTCAGAGTCCAGTCATGAGCGCCGACTTGCCGTTATCTCCACAAGTTCGCACCCGCCTATCTCGGCCGCGCAGACGTGACCGCACCTGCCAAGCCGTTGCACAAAGAAAGAACGGGGAAGGCACGATGGAAGAAAGACAGACAGGTCGCCACCGTGGAGGCAGGAAGGACCCAGGGGTTGGGGAACGGGAAGGCGCGCTGGTGGCACTCTGCTTACGCCCAACATAAGAAGAAAAAATGAAGAAAAAAAAAGAGTCGCCGATAAGCCGGGGTCTATGGGTCTTGTCTTGAGCAACAGGCCCCCCCCCACATACTCAACGCTTTTGTTCCGCGGACCAATCTGACTTCTTTGGTCGCAAACAATGTTACAGTCGCACACACACAAACACAACCAGCTCCGTACGAAGTATGTCGTATCTTCGCAGACCAACAAAAGCCGGGCGTCCCCGCATTTGGCCTTCTTCTCTACTAGAGCCCGCTCCCTGTCGCAGCTTCCCTTGGAGATGACCCACCGCCGATGTGCCTGCCTCGCGCGACTTGGCTCGAAAGGGAAGGGAATCAACGCATCCTTCCCTCGTACATGTACGCAAGTGCAGCAAGGGCACGATTGAGAAAGCGCGAAAGAGCACCTCTCTCTTTTGGTGCGTGTGGAGCCCAGCCAGCCAGACTAGCCACCCGCACGCGTGGACAGAGCCATGCTACCAGACCCGCTACAACCCTAGGCTAGGAGCCTAGGAGCTTAGCCATATCTTTTGGCATTCTTTATTTCTTTATTCCAGTTTCTGCCCACATCGGCGGTCACTCTTTTGTCAGTTGGCCGCTTTGCCTAGATGACAGTTATCGGGCGCTGCCATTCGCCGTTGCCGGCCACTGGGGCATTCTCCAATCTCCCCCAGCAAATGAAAACAAAAAGCGCACTATTCTGTACTTCGGCGCCAAAACCCCAGAAAATCCCAAAATCCATGTCCGTCACATTTCACGCCTCGTTTCCCCCTCTCCTTTTTGGACCACTTTCGCTTGGGGCTTCCTGTCTGTTGGTTTCCCGGTTCGTCTGGTCACGTTCCGTTGCTTGTAACCCCGTCGCGGTATCTTTGTTTCCTTTCCGTTTTGAGAAAGAAAACTGAACATCACAGCGCCGACCCCAAGCAAGCTATCATCGGACCGCCTCATCTCGTCCATCTATCTCTCCTCTCTCCTCGTCTCCGTGGCCAAGGCGCCCCCTCACGCACGAGGCACCATCTTCCGACAAAGGAACTCCAACCGAACCACGGCAGCTGGGAAGAGATAGCTCGAGCCTTGTCCTGTGCGTCCAGGGACATAAGATGTGATCGTCGCGCCTCGTCATCGTGGTCGTGTCTTGTATTTTTTATTTATTTTGTGTCTTGTCCAGCCCTGTTTCATCCCATCTCCATCCCCGTCTTCAGCTTCTTTCCAAGTGCCATTGACACACGCCATCCATCATGGCTTCCAGGATTCGCGAATACTTCTCCAACAGCTACCGGCCCGGCGAGCGCATGCTGGTACAGAAGATTGACTTTTTCATCCTGACCTTTTGCTGTCTCAGCTACTTTATCAACTATGTGAGTGATTGCCGTGCCCGATGCGTTGCAGTTCTGCTGCTCAATGCTTCTGCGATCGTGGGCCACGTCTAACGCCGCCAGCTCGATCGCTCCAACCTCACCAATGCCTACGTCTCGGGCATGAAGGAGGACCTTGGTTTCGTGGGCAACCAGCTCAACGAGATCAACACCTGCTTCACTGTCGGCTACGTCATTGGCCAGGTGCCCTCCAACATCGCGTTGCACCACATCAAGCCGCGCTTCTACTTCCCCACCATGATGCTGCTCTGGGGCGGCCTCACCATGGTCACGGCATCCGCACA